AAATGTAATTATGCACATGTGTGCATCACACACACACACACACACACACACACACACACACCTGTAAGTGAATGTGGTAGCTTTATTGATAATCTCCTAAAACTTAAAACAACCCAAATGGCTGCCCAATGGGGAATAGATAAATTTTTGTACATGCACAACATGAAATCCTGCTGTAAAGAAAAAAGAACAAATTGTTAATGCATACAGCAGTGTGGATGAATCTCAAAAGCAATGTACTACAGGAAAGAGGAAGCCAGAGGTCACCGGGGGCTGGAGGAGAGTGGAAGGTGTGAGGACAGATAGCCAGGAGAAGACTGTTGGCAATGCTGCGAGGTGCACTGCAGCCGGGTTACGGGGGTGGCTACGAGAGCACACAGGTTGTTGGAGCTGCACAAATATGTGCATGGCTTGTGCTGCATGTAAATGACACACAGAGAAGCCTGATGTAAGACAGTCCCATGGGAGCAAGTACTTTGTTTAATTCACTGCTTTTTCCTAGCCTGTGCAGCTGTACATGGTATAGAAGAAGTATTTAGTTTTTGGTTTTCTGTGTGTTTTACTTTCTTTATTTGTTTGTTTTTGAGACAGAGGCTGGCCTTGAATTCATTATTTAGCATAAGCTGACCTCAAACTTGTGGTGATCTTCTTGTCTCAGCCTCCTGAGTGCCTGATTACAAGCATAGACCACACACCTGGCAATAAAGTATTTGGTGAGAGGAAAGAGAGAAGGAAAAGAGAAGGAAAGGAAGAGTTGAGGAAAGAGCAGAAGGGAGTGAGGGAGACAGGGAGAGAAAAACAGAGAAAGGAAAGGAAGGAGAGGAAGAAAGATCTAATTCTGGACTTTAGTCTGAGCAGTCTTTACAGTACTTTATATATAAATGCTAGAAGTACAACAACATGTAGTATATCTTACACAAACCTCCAATGTATGTATCATTTGATTTCAAATTTATTGAATGCTTTAGTTCCAATTTTCTTCATAGTCTGCAACAGAGAATAAATTTATGTCTTAAAGTTCATAGACTTTTTTTTCCAATTTCTAAAATGAATATAAAGATTGTTAAGACTATATAATCTCATCCTGTGTTGTAAGGGTGGTTTTCTTAGTTGAACAGGTATGTGGTGCCTTCTTACCTCAGAAATATTTGCAGCAGATTTTCACCCTACCTGGTAAGTGTGTGTAGTCTTTACTCTTCAGTGTTTGTCTTGCTGAAACATTTTGCTTAAGTATTGTGCAGGTATATGCCCAGATATTCAAATATTTATAAAATATTTATATTGGCTTGAAGATCCTGTAAATCACATGGGGAAAAGATGTATCAAAATAAATGGAAGCCACTTCAGAAACAAATTTAAGTCCATTTCAGTTCAATAAATTGTTTAAAGCACATACACATACACACACACACATACACACACACACAACACCATATACAGCTCTTGTTGAGACAATGAAGTTGTAAGACAAAATAATAAAATACATCATATATCTTCTAATGATTGGGAATCTACATGAACATGGGGGAAGTTTACCATTGCATATAGAAATTGTGTGTGTGTGTGTGTGTGTGTGTGTGTGTGTCTCAGCCTGCCCTGGGGGTGGGGCTGGGGCAGCATGTGGTGCCAGGAATCAAACTGTGGTCCCTGCACTTTGCCTAAGCTTGCCTAAGTAGGCACCAAGCTATCTTTCCAGCCCATGACTAGAAATTTTCAATTGAAATTGCTTAAGCTGGGGATTCAAAACCAGTCATTCAGAGGTCTATTTCTCAACATAGAATCATCAAAATTAACATTTATAAGGTCCAGTAAATTGAAACACGGACGAGAATTACCTGTAAAGAACCAGTCTGTTTAGTGCCCAACTTGTACTGTATTAAGCTAAAGTACAAAAGTAGGCTCTGGGTTGGCCTCAGGCACAGTGGAGGTAGGCTGCCGCAACTGACAACAGCAAGCTTTACAGATAACCGCAAGCAAGCACAGTGAAAAGGACGAGGATGTGAACACACCACAGAAAGCTAGCAGTTTAGCTCCTAAATATTAACAGATAAGATTAGTGTTGGACTCCGCCAAGATTTGCGAGGTTTTGTCCCTGCAGATGAAGTGTTTGGTTACACTGGAGTTCCCTCTGGGATTCTCTTCCAGGTGTTGGACCTTTGGGGTTTCTGAAGGCCCAATTTTAGAGACGCTTATGGCTACCAGCCTCCGTCTCTCAATGTCAACTGTAGGTTGTCACTGTGAGGCTTAGCCACCCCCATTCCCCGGGAGTTACTCATTTGCTCCTAAACCAGACCTTTCCTATCTCGGTGGAAATGGCAACCCTACCTTTCTGAGAAAGACAGCAAGATATAATACAGATGTGCAAATTATAAGTAATGACTCCTACAACAAGACAGAAGAAGAAAACAGACTTTTCAAAATAACAAAAAATATTCCCGTAAATTTTAGACAGTACTCACCCTGGCTTGAAGACTGAGTGGATTTTCAAGACCAAAGAATCTTTGTTACTGATACAAGAATGTACTAGTATTGCTGGTAAGGAGGCCATAGGAAGGACATTCGTTATGTTGCTGTTGAAAATATAAACTATTATAATAGCTTTGTAAATATTTATCTGGCTTGTCTAAAAATGCTCATAAACCCTAACAAGTAATTTTTTGTCTAGATGCCTAACTAGTACATAACCAGTGGTGAGAGAAAACATGTATTTAAATGGGGACCACTGGATTACTTCTTTGAGGAAGAATTAGAAGCAATCAAAATGTTCACCATAAGAGAAATGAGCATGATGGGGAAATTATAAAATTATAAAATCACAAATGTAACATTTAAAAATGTTTATGAACAGTTTTATAATAAAAAAGAAAATGCATCAAAATAAAGCACTAAGTATATTTTAGCTGTGCAATTTTTAAGCAATTTATATAAAACAGATTGGAAATAGCCAAAATTTTTAATAAGAGTTCTTTAAAAGTGATAATATTTAATGTACTAGCTTTCTGAGTTTTTAAAAAGCCTCTGTAGCTTCTAAGCTTACTACATAAGAATGAATTGAACACAATTATTAAAAAGTTTAAACATTACCAAGCCAGGTGTGGTGTTGCACACCTAGAACTCCAGGACTCTGGGAGGATGAAGCAAGAAGGTAGAAGGTGCCAGCCCACCCTGGGCAACTGTGATCATGCCTCTGAACTGAAAAGCAACAAAAACAGACAGAAATGTAGCTGAGGTCTGAAATCCTAGGACAGCCAAAAATGGGAGATAGATAGATAGATAGATAGATAGATAGATAGATAGATGATAGATAGATAATAAATATTGATATCAAAAGTATCTAAACACAAAGGAGTACATGTGATACAATTCTACTTATATAAAATACAGAACCAGGGCTGGCCAAATAACTCAGTGGATTAAAGCCCCTGCAAGCAGGTGCAGGGCCCGGGGGTTCGGTCCCCAGGCCTGCTGTGCCAGCCTCACCCCTGCCCCCGGGTGTGCTGAGATGGCAATTGAGACTGGGCGTGGTGGCGCACGCCTGTAAGACCAGCTCTTGGGAGGCTGTAAGCATATGGATCACTATGAGTTCGGTCTAGTAGTGAGACCCTAAACACCCTGTAGACTCTTACCTAAAATACAAAATACAAAAAAAAATAAAAATAAAAATAAAAATAAAGCACAGAACCAAGCAAAGCCCATCTCTGCGTTAGCAGAGAGGACAGGGCTCCCACTGTGCTGGAGGAAGAGACCAGCTGGCAGCGTGAGCAGAGTGCGAGGATGCCTGCTCTTTGGGTACCTTCACTTGTCAAAAGTACATAATTACACTCACAACACATGCACCTCTCTAGATTTTATAATTGGATAGAAGTTATTCTAAGAATAAGCGTTGTAATGCTTTCCCCAGAAGAAAGGAAAACTGGACATTTGAAAGGTGCCAGAAGTGATTATAAAGCTATGCCCAAACATAGCATCTGCTTTCTTGGCAGAGGACTTCATTCACGCCACCATAGCAAGCAACTACTTAAAAGCTAAGAAGCTTGGGACTTAGTGCTAACTAACCCTCCAGAACTGCAAGGTCATATTGAATGCTTGTGAAAGAATCCACAGGCTGGCAGCCAAGTGTGCAGGGCGCACTACCTCACCAATAAAAGGATTAAGCTAGGGACATGACTCATCTAGGTGTTTCCGTGAGTGGGAATCACAGGGCTGCTTCCTCCTGTTCAGGTGGGGACACTTCTCACCAGCCTTTCTTGCAACGGGGTGGAGCTAGAGAACGAGAACTGTCAGCAGAAAAAGAAATGTCCCAGCCCTCGCTGCACTTCGCTCAACAAGAGGCCACTTGTGAATGTCAATGGCAAGGGACACTGTGAAGCAGAACAGCTTCCCAGGTAGAGGCAGGCTGTGACAGCCCTGGCAGGGAAAGCAAACTGCAAAACTGAGAGACAAAACTATGTTTAACAATGTATATATATATTTTAACTTATAAAAAATATTTTTTGATTGACATAATAATTGCCAATATTTAAGAGACACAATATGATTTTTGACTCATGCATATATTGGGCAGTGATCAACTCTGGGTAATTAGCCTGTCCTTCTTGAAGAAATAGTTGTTAAGATTTGTAGGAAATGTAATAAATGAAACATCTAGTAGGGGTTTTGGATCCCGGCCACCGTTGGTTGTGGCGGCTGCAACTTGAAGTGGCAGACTTGGGTCAGAGCCAGGTGCTGCCACACCAGGCACCAGCTCCCAAATAGTTCTGTACCTGGCTGGCTCCAGCCTGTGCTTCTCTGGACGCCATCAGCCTGCGGTCATCCTGACTGCTCTCTTTCCCAGGTGGCCCTCTTTCTTCAGCGGTTCTCTTCTCCTCCTCTTTATCGGGAGCATAGAAGGCAAAGGCCCGGATTGGCATGGAGCCCTTCTTGTGCCCATCACAAGTGCCACCGCCGCCCTGGGCCTCACCGTCTCCTCGCTCTTCTCCCGCCTGTTCAGCAATAAGCAAATGCATAACTGGATGGTTGGATTGGACGCTGCTGGCAAGACAACCATTCTGTATAAACGCAAGTTATGGGAGATAGTCACCGCCATTCCTACTGTTGGTTTTAATGTGGAAACAATAGAACATAAGAACATTTGTTTCACAGTGTGGGATGTTGTTGGTCAAGATAAAATTCGGCCTCTGCGGAGGCATTACTTCCAGAATACCCAGGGCCTTGTATTTGTGGTAGATAGCGATGATCGTGAAAGAATTCAGGAAGGAGCAACTGTACTGCAGAACATGCTCCAGGAAGATGAGCTGCAAGATGCAGTGCTGCTGCTGTTTGCAAACAAACAGGATTTGCCAAACGCTATGCCCATCGGTGAAATGTCAGGTAAGTTGGGTCTTCAGTCTCTTCGGAACAGAACATGGTATGTTCAAGCCACTTGCGCTACACAAGGAAAGGGTTTGCATGAAGGTCTAGACTAGCTGTCAAATGAGCTTTCAAAACATTAAAGGAAGCTAAATGTGGAACCTTGGACATGTTAACCTAGGACACCTTTGATAGAATTGGCTGAGGCTTGTTACAACAAAATTAGTTTGCATCTTGGTTATTAAACAGTATCTGGGACTGGTTTGGGCAGTTTCAACTTATTTTGTTGCCAATTATTATTTACCAAGTAGGATGTTGCCATTTAGCAATATGCTTGATTTTGAAGAGATTTTCCTTGGGGAAAAAGTATCCTCTCTTAATTTCACCTTTAAGCCTAAATGCCTGGGCATAGCTGTTGTGTCACCTTTAAATTGTTTTGAGCCCACAACAAATAATGTTTTAGAAGTTTATCTCCTTGCTACTTTACTGATTCCTTTATCATTCCTGGGACAGTCTGCTGATTTAAAAATGTAGCATTCCATTTGTATTTATTTCTGTCCCTTGCCAGAAAGATTTTCTGAAATTATTCCTACCAGCCAGGGAGATGCTCTAAAACACTACTCAGCTCTCTTGCACTGAGGAACTTGGTTCTTCCCCCATGACCAGCTCCTGGGTCCCACCAGTGAAACTTCCTTTGGTGTGGTTTGGATTTGACATCTGATTCTGTGCTGGTTGCCAAGAGTCCCTGTGGAGGTGGATTTTCATATTCAGTAGATTGCCTTCCTTTATAGTGTATCTTTCTTATGTCACATGTTGCTTTTGGTATCAGCCCGACTCTTAGCCCAGCATATATGGTTCTCTTGTGTTTTGTTGTTTATTGATGAATGTATCTTCTTTCAGAGTTTTGAGAAGACTCATCAAACTCAATAATTTTTCTTCATAACTCCTTTGGAATTATTCTTAATAAAATGATAAAATGTATCAAAAAAGAAACATGTAGGAAAATATCCACCAAAATGGAGAAGGAAAAACAAAATCTTGAGCCCTTTTCTTGTGTGTACCTGTTTTTACCACTGAGAAACATACACCCGCTTCCTGAAAAGTTCCCAAGACATAAATATTGGCCTCTTCAACCTTGAAGAAATGAGCCATGTACTTAACCCAGCTGTGTCCCTAGGTCCAGAAAAATGTCTTTTTTTTTCTTTCTACCTTTGATAGAAAGCCAACCAAAAACTACACTTGATCTTAGTCACAATCCTGAGAAGTGATTAAAACTTGAAGAAACAAACTTTCTTTGAGAAGTCACAGCCAAGAGGACTTTCCTGAGGAAATTTGGCAGGAAATGTGTGAGAACAGAAATAGTTCTGGACACATCTGGTCAAAGGTCCAGACTGCTGGATAAGATGGCCACATCACCTGGCTTTGGGCTTTAGGATCTGCCCCTATGTGACCAAAATGATACAGAATGATAATCAATATTTGTGCTAAGAATCAAGCAATATTTTACAAGCACTTCCTATTGCTGTATCAGAAGTCAGTATTGATAAACAGCCCATATGGTCAAGCCAGCTGCAATGTGGGGAATTAGAAATATCGCATTCCTGGGCCAGTCCCACGCTGGATATTTCCAGTTTCCAATCAGGCTGTGACAGCTGTCATTCCCTACACACAGCTGCCTCTGACTCATGAGCAAAACTCAAAGCCATGCAGTGACCTCTTTAACCACATGTACAAAACAAAACCAGGCAGCAACACTTTCTCCAGGAACCCACAACACTTATCTCTCTTCCTTTATCAAGATTTGTCTCTGCAGCCCTGAGGTGCCCTCATAACCTCTCAGCAAATTGCCTATTTTTATATGAATCAACATACCCAGAGATCAAAACTAAAGTGAATATTCTTAAAATTTTAAACTTATTATGGCAAAAGAGAAGTTGCCAAAAATGAAATAAGCATGTTCAAAGTACAGATGAATATTCTGAGGGGTATTGATGGCAATATGTCTTTTACTGCAATATATTTTTTCATTTAGACACCCTGTTCAAGCCAGGCGTGGTAGCACATGCCTATAATTCTACCAGCTAGGAAGCTGAGTTATGAAGAGAAAGAAATAAAAGGAATAAGAATAGGCAAAAAAGAAGTTAAATTATCTTTATTTGCGGATGACATGATACTTTACTTAGAAGACCCAAAAACTCCACCAAGAAGCTACTAGAATTAATACAGAAATTCAGTAGCATAGCAGGTTATAAAGTCAATACCCAAAAGTCAATAGCATTCCTCTACACAGACAACAAACACTCAGAGGGAAATTATAGAAACAATACCTTTTACAATAGCACCGAGGAAAATGAAATACCTTGGAATTAACCTAACTAAAGAAGTCAAAGATCTTTTCAATGAAATTGGGGGGCTACATTGTGAGTTCTAGTCCAGCTGGAACAGCAAGACCTTCTCTATCTCAAAAAAATTAATAACCTGATCTGAGCACCCTGTATATATAATATCAAAGCTTCATAGTAATACAGAGGAAGGCAAGCAGGGAAGCTAGAACATAATGTATAGTAGGATAGGGACACGGTCACCGTTAAGCAAAACATAGAGGCAGAAAAATTCTATCCACCCCTTGATGGTTATAACGGGATGGATGATTAATTGACATCTTAAGAGATAGATAACAGGAGAGGGATTAAACTGATTAACAAAAGAAAAATATACACATTTATGTACAAGCTTTGCATAGCTCAGGATCCCTCAAAGAAACTGAAGACCAGAAGAAGTACTTCTAGTCAGCTACCCATACACTACTGTACAGAACAAAAACTCACTGTGAACAAGCAGCAAATCACATGAGGAGGCTTGAAGGGTAAGTTATTTTAATAAGATCACTACAGAATTCTCTAAATTTTGACTTCTTGTCTTCAAGAATCAGGATGTCCAATCATTCTAGTACGGGCAAAGCATCTCAGTGGGAATTTCATCTTCTGCTTTTAAAAATTACAGGGCAAAGCGATCTTTTTTTGTATTTGATATTTTAAAGTGTCTTTATCCTGAACAATTAAGATGCTTGAATAGTATGTTTTAATTTCTTCAAAAGCATTGCCACGTTGGTTGAGGGGATTTGATCAATACGGACAGAAGATGGAGTTGAAGTGGAAATGAATGCAGTGTTAAACATCAGGCCAGCTCTAGGAAGGTCCAAGACCAACAACCACAGGTACACAGAGGAAAGGGAGCAGACTTTAATGCAAGAAGTGTGTAGTTTAAGATTTTCTACAGCCAAATTAAATTAAGTATTAAAAAGGCATATAGTGCTTGGGTCTGGTGGTGTATACTTGTAATCTCAATACTCTGGAAGGCTGAGGCAGAAAGACCACAAGTTTGAACCTAGCCTGGGCAACTTAATGAGTTAGCAAGACCAATTCAAAATTTTAAAAAATAATAAATAAATGAAGGGCTGGGGAATGTAGTTCTGCGTAAGAGTCTGGGTTCAATCTCCAGTATCAAAGACGAAGTAAAAAAATTAATTTGGGTAATATATTTTATTTATTTCAATGTAACAAACCTATGGTCATTTACCATGAAATCAGTAAAATAAAGTATTAAGGATATGCTCTACTTCTTTTTCATTTATACTAAATAGCCTAAAAATCAGTTATGTGTTTGAGCTTAAAGCATCTTCCCATTTTTCTTTCTTTTGCAGCACTGGGGACTGAAGCCAGGGCCTCAGCATATGGTAGGCAAGTGTTCGCAGCCCTCTGTCCTTGGAGTAGCCACATTATAGACAGTCACTGGCCACAGATCCCTCCTACCACCTTGGACTCAGCAAGTTTCAACCACCAAAACATCTTCAGATTATTTCACTTTTTTCTCATTTCCTCACCTGTAGACCAAATAGGATTTACTGAGTTTTAAATCCAAATGTTTGTCTTTTAAAATCAGGTTGAATGTCCAAGACTTCTTCCAAGGCCTTTCACTTGGAAAGAAAAGTCCATTCCTGTAAATTGGACCCATCAATGTTTACAGGGCGTATTCTGGTTGCAAACCACCACAGGGACACTCACCAGGTCCCCAGCTCCTTTGAATGCTAACACACATCTCAAGCCACAGTGTTGAAAACCCAAATCTTTAGAAGTGATAGTGAAGTAATCGTTAGAATTTAACACCTTCTGAAAAGGAAACTCACTGCTATCCTTGTTGGAACTTCTAGACTCAAATTCAAAACCTAATTTTTTTCTTTCTGGACAGAAAAAATAGCTTCTACAACCCAAAGATTAAAATGTCCTTAATTTCCTTCCCTTTACTTGAAATAAATATAAAAATAATAAATTTAATATAATCATGAATTATAATAACCATTTTGTAATAGAAATACAAAGTAACAGATCATTTTAAGGCAATGATAAGAGATGCACATTGTTTATCTGTTTCTGGGAAGTTGGACATAGCAGCTTCAGGGTGGGTACTCTGTGTTCATGCTCACTGAATGTGACATCATGATTCTGTACTACAAGGCAGGGCCAGGACACACTTCACCTCCCTTTCTAAACTTTTTCAATAATTCATCTTCCCTGAGGTCCCAAAACTTCAGTCTTCCTAAGGCACCAGGCCTATGATATATGTAAAAACTATACTGCACACCAATTTTTTTCCTCCTAAAGCAAAGTCTAAGAAATTGACTTTTTCTGGATATTTTGTCTCCAAAGGGACAAGTTCAACCTTGTGGCCAGATAGTCCAACCTTTTCTTGAGCTACCAAGCCTGCTTCTGGAAGCTTGGCACTGTGTTAACCCCTCCCTCCTTCCTCAGCTCACTCGGAGATAAGGCTCTGGAAACTGCAGTGCAGAAATCCAGCAGGAGAAATGCTGGCAGTAGGCAGCTTTTACATTTGGACTGCAACTTCAGGGAGAGAGAGGGGGAGAGAGAGAGAGAGAGAGAGAGAGAGAGAGAGAGAGAGAGAG